CAGGTTGGTAGGCATGGTTCAATGTACATATTCGGTTCTTACATCCGTTCTTACGATTCCATTCTCTTTCTCTTTTGATTTCTTTTTTTTTTTTTTTCTCTCTTCCCCGGTTAATCCGCAGCCTACATTGCAACATTTTATATTACAGCGGGTGTGATACACGATATAACTATAGTAACAAAATATAAATTCGCTTATGTATAAAAAGGAGAAATGAGATGAGTGAGAGAAAGTGGTTTGGATGGGGGGAGTTTTTTGTATTAACATACATGAACACACTTCCACCTCTCGTACGCATCACGTTGAATCATAAGGTGACAGACAGAGAGATAGACAAAGATAAAGAGAGAAAGAGAGAGAGAGAGAGAGAAAGACGCGGAAAATTAATCGACAGGGATAAAAAGTCCTTAATTATAAGCTAGGTGGTATTATAAATTACAAAAAATTACAACCTCACGCATAATAGTCTTTTCTCGTCGCGAACATTCACGATCTCGTTGATCGATGTTGTGTACGGGTGCCGAAACAACGATCCTACCTGATGGATCGTCGTTCCAGGACCTCGATCGTCTCTCGATCAAATCGATCAACGTAAAGGGAAAAAAAAAAAAAAAAAAAAAAAAAAAAGGAAAAACATCACTCATACGCATACACGTTGGCGCGAGAGTACACACAGTTTTCGAGAGGACTCGTGAATTCGATTCGATTCGATTCACGAATCATCCTCGAACGCCGCCAACGTGGTTACAATCCTCGTTTGGAAGTAAAATAAATAAATCGGTCTCTCGTCGATGAGACGATATTCCCTATGCTCTGGGTAACAGGGACGATAATTTCTCTTCTCGTCTTTCGTATCCTACGGCTGTAGAATATTGATCGCTCGATCGCCGTCACTGGCCCTCGCTGTCGCTGTCGCTTTTGTCTGTAAATAATATTTTTTCATTGGAGAATAATTATTATTTCTATCTTCTTCTATCAAACTCGCTAACTATACTTGTAATTAAAATATTTTTTGGAAAATATTGGAAACGTTTAGGTGGAATGTTTTAGGATTGTTTCGTCTTTTTTTTATTAATGCTTTAGCGATCTCTATAAGGTTCATGACCCACAGATTGGGAATCCCGGTTTTGGAGGGAGAGCGTGTCGGAGAATGCGTGGAATTTTTTTCTGTAGTCATTTCTATTAATACGACGCGGCAGATGACGAATTCAACGATTATTTATTACAACTTGACCTTTGCATATAGAAAAGTTATACGTTCATAAGAACCATAGGCATTTTATCTTGACAATTATACGTGCTACATATACAGATTTATGGTTCTGTAAACGTAAAAGTAGGAATATTCCAGTCGAACAAATTATCTATTCAAACGTTTCGTTTATAATTTAAATAAATTATAAGAAGAACGAAGAATATTGTGGAAGAACAAAATTTCTCTTTCGAGATAATATTTCTTTTTCTTTTTCGAATTACACACACATATATATATATATTTATCGAGAAAAGAAAGGCATAGAAAATTCATTTTATAAATAATACCAACCTTTTTTGCCAGGATACGCGTGACGCTTCAGCCTGTCGTAAAGATCATCTTTCGTGCCGTAAATACTCGCATTCGAACGCGCGAGACTGTTCATTTTACCGTTGTGCAGACTCTCTGAAAGGAGCGAAGAAAGAAAACACGTGAAACCGAATGCACACTCCTTTCTCGAACTTATCCCGTTTTCACGACTTACCTTTCATGTAGGTCTCGTTGTAAAAGTTGGGCATTTCCCACCCGTCCTCCTCGTCGTCGTAGTAATGCGCGTAGGTACTGTGATGGGAAGGGGCGATCGATTCCGCGTACGGTGTCGGCGCACCATAATAGAAGTTCACTTGAGAACCGTTTTGATCGGTGGCAGGTGTTAGCATCTTTTTGGGCTCCTTCTTTCTCGACGCTCTGTGTGGATTTAAAAAATTATTAATTATTAATTATTATTTTCACACGAATGAAATAATTATTTCGAAAAACGTACAAATAAAATACAATTTTTGTAGTGACGATAAATTTTTATTCCCTCGTTGTAATCTTCGATTCGAAAGAAAGAAGTAAGAAGTATCGTCACACAATTTCTACGACCCACTAACCTGACACAGATCATCCATACAAGAAGAACGACGAAGATGATCAAAATAACGCCACCGGCTATCCCTCCCGTGATGTAGAAGAATTCGGATTTCTCGGTGCATCGTTTCCCTGTGAAGCTTCCGCTGCATCTGCAGGACGGTTGTCCCCGTGAATCCTTTAGGCACACTCCCTCGTTGTCGCAATAGCCCATGCACACGTCCGTGCACTCGGTTCCGGTTCCGTTGTAGCCAGGTTTGCACTCGCACTTGAAGTCGCTGGTTTCCGGTATCAGAAGGCAATACGCGTTCGCGTCGCAATGCATTTCCGCATCGCTCGTCTCGCACGGGTTCGTGCAATCCGCTTTGCTCGTCTAATTTTTAAATAAAGTTATTTCGATCAAAAGACGACACGATTTTTTTTGACTTCGATCAAAAGAAGGATATACAATTGAAAAATTGCTATTAACAATTGATGTTAATCGAGACTCATCTAGAATCAAATGAATATGTATGAGGATCCGAACGATAATTCTAAAAATATTAAAAATTTCCTGCAAAGCAAGAAACTTTTCATTTCCTTTCGAAATATATCCAAGAACAACGAAATTATTGAAAATAGCTGATTAAACATCAGATCATTTTAGATAAAATTCCACTTGTTTGAAACCAGAACTCAGAAAAAAAAAGATACTCACAGCAGTAGTTCCCTTGGTGCTGGTATTAGGAGGGCAAGGTATGCAGAAGGTCTGCTGAGGCTCCGACTGATAAGTCCCCTTCTTGCACTCCATACATTCGTTCAAGGTGCCATTCAAATAAGTCCCCGGTTCGCAGACGGGCAGAGAGCACTCCTCTATCGCCGCGGATCCCATATTCGGGGTAGTTCTGCCAACGGGGCACGCCTGGCACGCAGCCTGGACGCCCTGAGTCCTGTAACTGCCCCTCGGGCAGGGCTCGCATTTCCCCTCCACGGCCAATTGCTGACCCGACCCGCACTCGTCCCTGCACTCCTCCCTGGACACGGCCTCCGCCGTCCTCGTCGTTTTGCCGAGGCCGCACAGCAGACAGGAGAAGCTGCCCTCGTTCGGTTGGTAGAAACCGTGGCCGCAACTTCGGCACAGGCCTGCCAAGTCGTCGTAGTACTTTCCCGCCGGGCAACGCTCCTTGCAATCGGCTGCGCTTCGAGCACCCGGCCCCACTGTCACGCTTGGACGTCCTGCTATCACAGGACAGGAGCTGCACTTGAGCTGACCCGACTCGCTTTGGTAGCTTCCAACGGGGCAGGATATGCATTGCTTCGTTTCCTCGTCGTAGAACGTTCCCACGGCGCAGGGGACTGTGATTAAAATTATGTAATTTTTAATTTTAACATGGATGAATGGTTTTTTGAATTTTTTAATCGAATGCGTGAATGTTTGGAGATAGGTTTTGATGGGTAGGGGAAATTTGTAATTTGTTCGTAGGAATTATTGTTCATGGGGTTTCGAGGGAATTAGAATAGATGAATAATTTGAATATTGTAATGGGGAATGGAGATGTGTTTTAGAGATTGTGAAGCGTGGAAATGTGAGAACTCGTGTCACGTGGTGACTAGCCTGGAGGAATTACAATAGGTGTTTGAATATTCTAATGAGGAATGGAGATATTTGGGTAAGTGGATGGGTTTTAGTGTTATAGGGGTTAGATGGTTTTCATGGTAAAGTTCATGGCGATTTGAATATTATTCTAATTGGATGGATGCGTTTAGATATTCTTGTCGAGTAGAAACTGACGTAACTGTAAAGTTATGAGGGAATTGAGATAACTGTGTAAATATTCCAATGAGGAACTAGAGACTACTTAAATATTCCGAACAACAACATTGAAGCTTAGATTAATTTGCATGAAAATGAGGTTAAATATAGGAAACATTGATTTTCAACCGAATATTCGGATATTCTAATAATTAAAAATAGAGAAATTTGTACGAATATTTAAGAATTTGATTTCTTTATTATATTTAATTTAAAAAAGAAAAATCTGTTAAAAATACTTACCACAATCGGGTGCCATGACCACTTGGCCCACAGGACAATCATAATCGGACTCCAATATCAGGGACGCTGGATCAGGTACCGTGTTGGGCAGAATATCGTGAACGTCGAACTGATCTTCTTCCAGGATTAATCTCTCCAACAGGGTTTGAACAGTCGCTCTCTCGTTCGAATTCGCGTTCAATATCGGGTCGCTATAAAATATCGGGATTCAATTAATCAATTGCAGATGAACAGGTGGTGTTTAGCGGCAGGCAAAAGGAGAGTAATGCGCAAGTATGTACAGCCGTTATCTGAAGGCGAAGGTAATCAGGCAGCTTTTCCATTGGTTGTTGGCCAGTAGTGCCGCTTATTATCGACGCTCATTAATTTGTTTTACCTACGTAATATTTAATTAATCCAACACATCCTGGAATTTACTAATTTATTACATGTCGCGGGCCAGTGTCGTTTTGAAGTTTAATCTTCTGTTAATGTAATGGGAACCGAAGCTGTTTGGTATGCGAGAAAATATTGGAAAATTATTTATGATGTTTGTTACAATTAAATTTATTGCGAAGGATAATTTTTTTCTTTCTAATTGAAACGTAATGAATTGCGTACACGGTATTTTTGTTAATAATTTTTCGAAAAATTAAATTAAATTGGTTAACCTAACAGCTTGGATTAGAAAATCGAGTGTTACACAGTCCGAGTTACGTTGTTATTCTACTATTCTATTCGATTCGTTCGATCCCTAGTTAAGTGTCCCGTTTCAACTATCTCTTTCGCTGTGTGAACAGTTAGTAATAACGTGCATACCAGCGTATTTACCTTCGTAATTGCCGGTTAGAGTCGACTTAACAGTTGTCAGAATCGCTTCAATCGTACGATCAATCATATTTCAGAGGAGAAAGAAAATTTAAATACAATGTTGGAACGACAACTTATTAAAATCGATCTCCATTATTATTATTATTATCGATTCTCCAATATTTAAAATACGTAAATCCGATGGAAAGAAAAAAGAAAAAATGATTTCTCGTCACCTTGTAACCAGCCAACCTGAGGTTACTAGTCTAATTAGTTTCAGTTTAGTAACGTTATGATATATATATATATATATATATATTTTTTTTTTTCGTGTATACATGATCATGCATCGAACGAGATATCTCGTTCGAGATAAATGATAGATGGTTCCATGGGATCATGAGTTTTTTTTAATTTTGGCCACGTAATGATGAGATGAAGTGTGTCGAATGAGGACACATGTACATATGATACGATTCGATGGCTGTAAATCGATTGCTGTCCTTACTTTATCGCCGGGAACGAGATCTCCACCTCGTAGGTATCGCTTCCTTGCCGAGCTTGTCTCGTTCTATGATGCAACACAAGTAACAAATTGCTCAGTACCAATTCTAATTTCATTCAATTTGCTTTGATTTCTGAAGCTGTTTCACGGTCAATATTACTGTTCCACTATTAAAAGGGTTTACTACGAGATGTTTACTGAACACGATACCCCAACATTTTGATTTTGGAAAGCTTTGACTCTATCTTTGAAATAATAGTAAATGGATGGGATACTTACGGTTCAGCAGGTACTACGGCGGAAATTATGTAAGTACCGCCATCTTCTTCGTTCGTTTCTCTCGTGGTGCGTACCCTGTGGTCGCATTGGACGTCGATATTCAAATCTTTGCACTCGCGAGTTCCTGTAGAAAATATTACACGCGAAATATATTAATTATTGTATTATTATTATATTATTATTATTATTATTGTATTGTAATTATTGTTTTGAAGCTTACAATTGAAATTCGTCTCGTATAGTTGTTTGGTTATTTAAAGAAAAATAAAAAGATCGTTCACCTTCGTAAGAATACGAGCAGAAATTCCAATCTCTGTTCAGAGAGTTCACAGCATCTCGAACTTTCTTCTTGAGCACTCCTTGGCCGGCTTCGTTGCAGAGAACCGATGTCGGGAAGTTCATCTTGATTCTGAATACACGTTGTGCGGGCGTGGCACCTGACAACAAATAAAAATAATAATATTATTACCTTATTGACAGAACGTATAGAATAGAAAGATGAAAACTTACTTGTACAAGCTGGATAAATTAGAGGAAGAGATGGATCGTTGGTAGGTCTCCAGAAGCCTTCAGCGCCACAGGTGTAGAATTTCGGTACTTCTTGAGAGAACCTGAGTCCAGTGTTGCAGGAAATCTCGCAGACCTTGAACTGGCCACCTGAACCCCAATCTTTGCACAATTGCGTGCCTCCAATTGGATCTGCTAATTCTGGGCAGAAGTCGGCTGAAAAGCGAAACATATTATCATGAAAGCGTCTTTGTTTCGTAAAAACCGAATATCAATGAACAAAACGTGAGTTGTTTACGCTTACACAGTACATAGACCTTGAAATTGCAGCTGGCAGAGTTTCCAGCTTGGTCGTAAGCCACGTAACTAATGTCATACGTTCCCCACATTAACGTTTGCCCTGACTTGTGCCCATTCTTTTCTTGGATCCTCACTATACCGACATTGTCCACGAATCGTGGTTCGTCCCAGCTAACTATAGCGGAGCCATTCTTGGCGATCACCCAAAGATCGCCAGGGCAATGCTCCACCTTCGGTGGAATTTTGTCAGATTCCAATTGTTGACACTTGCTGCCGCCGTATCCAGGCGGACACACTCTTTGCCCACAGTGGGAAGGCACTACCCTCTCCACCCCGCCAAACGTGTCGTCGTAGCCTGCCCAAGTCAACACCAAGCCTTGGTAGAGCACTGGTTCGGTACGACAGTCGCGAACCTGCTTTTGAATCTCGTTTGTGACGTGCAAGGCTCGACTCCAGATTTGAACCTTGGTCAAATGTCCCTGGAAGCCTGATTCTGTATAGCCTTTCGTGTTTTCGCTCTGAGGTTTACCTAATACTGCCCAGGCACTGTAGAAGAGTATCGATTTTTGTAAATTTAAATTGTAAAATTAGATGTAAATTTAAAAAGAAATATTTGGAAGTTGAATGAAGTAATTGAGCATAGGTAAGTAGGATGGAATTCTTACTAGGCGGGTAGGGATCTTCCACTTCCATATCCTTCCGTCTTGCTAGCAATTAAACCTTCCGTAATCAGAACCAATTCACCACTGTTCTCGCCGTTCCAAACCACAGCAACGTGATGCCATTGGCCATCGTTAATCGTCGCATATTCTCTGAATGGTAGATAAACATCTTGCAAATCATGGAACAACGATACTTGTACGCCATTGCTGTGCGCTTGGATCATGAGTCTGCGATTCATTGGCACGTGTGGAGAGCTGGAATCGAGATGAGATAAATATTAAATCGAAGATGTAATTAGAAAAATTTAATTAATTAGTCGATTAGTTTACCTGACTCCGTATAGAGTGAAGAATATTCCAGCTTCATCTTTCTGAGTATACTGTACCCACATTGCCACTGTTAGACTCTTTCTTGCACCAGTGAAGAATGGAATCACTTGGGATGCGCTACTGCGCGCTGGATCGCTGAAGTACAAATCGTAATCCACTTGGATGGCTGTAGAAATATTACCAATTATATATATAATCCAAGATTTATTTTCCATAACGAAAACGAAATAAACAAACAAGGATACTCACACTTTCTGCAATCATCGCCAGTCAAATTGAAAGGACATTGACAGAAGAATTTACCAGTGAGATCTATACACGTTGCTGAAGGTGGACAAGAGTTCTCTTTGCAGTCTATTATATCCTCCTCGCATGTTTTTCCTAAACGACAATCCCATAATTACACCATATCCTCGTTAAAAAATCTCTAAAATTGTTAAACCAATCACCTGTATACCCTGAAGGACAAATACAAGTGAATCCAGGTCCTTCGTCGATACAAGTTGCACCGTTCTTGCAAGCGCCAGCCTGACAAGCATCATACTCGTACTGACATCCAATTCCAGTATAATCATCGGGGCAAGTACAGTTGAGCCCCGATCCAAAGTCTTGGCAACGTCCATTGTGCATGCAAGGATTTCCAATGCAACGTTCGGGTGCAGTTTCGCACTGTTTTCCATCCGTCCCTGATGGACACCTGCTCAACAAACAATTACAAACCATTACAAACGATCTATTATCCAAAAACTATTACGATACTTACACACAGAAGTAGTCCATAAATAGGTCCACGCAAGCTGCATCGTTCTGACAAGGATGATTCTGGCACATTCCAACGTCTATCTCGCAATGGACTCCAGTCCAACCATCTGGACACATGCATTTGAAGCCACCAACCTCGTCTCTGCACGTGGCGCCGTTTAGACACGGGTCAGAGGCGCAATCGTCGATGTTGATCTCACACGAAGATCCAGTGTAACCCTCGCGACAGTGGCACACGAAAGTGTTGTCCAAATCCACGCAACGATCAGTACCAACAGGACTGCACGGATCGCTCAGACACTCGTCCAGTTCCGCTTCGCATTGAAGTCCAACGAAACCTGGCCTACACTTGCAAACGAATCCCTCGAGTTGGTCTATGCAAGTCCCTCCATTTTGACAAGGATCGGAGGCGCAGTCGTCTATGGTGTGCTGACACTGTTTGCCTGTGTAGCCTGGCTCGCAAGTACAGGTGTATCCATCCACTTGGTCGATGCATTGGCCGTTGTTTCTGCAAGGTTTGCTTGCACACTCGTTGATGTTCGTTTCACAAGCTGCGCCAGTCCATCCTGGATGACAGATGCACTCGTGGCTGAATAAATTGTCCACGCATATTCCATTGAGACAAGGATTTCCCGAGCACAAGTCTATCTTCTCGTGGCATCGTTTGCCGGTGAATCCTGGGGGACAGTCGCAGGTGAAGTCGCCTATCAGATCCGTGCAATTGGCTCCCAGCAAGCAAGGCTTCTCAGCACAATCATCTGTATTGATCTCACAACTCTGACCCTCCCAGCCTGGTAGACAATCGCATTTATAACGACCTTGTTGGAGAGCTACGCAGGTGGCGCCGTTGTTGCAAGGATTTCCACTGGCTGTGCAAGGATTTATCTGCAAGAACACATTTAAAAAAATAAAAGCAATGTAGAGGAAATTTCTTTAAAATTCTAACAAACGAATATGAATTATAATCTAAAATCAAACTCACAGTGATATCACAATCAACTCCAGTGTACCCAGACCGACAAAGACACGTGTAATTATTGAACCCTGGCTCATCCTTGCACATAGCCCTTTCAGGACACGTGTCATTGGTGCAATCAGACTTTTCTTCCTGGCAATTGATGCCCGAGTATCCATTAGCACACTGACACCTGTAACCCTGTGGCAAATCTATACAAGTAGCTCCATTGTAACAAGGTTGGGAGGCACATTCGTCGATATCGATTTCACACCGTCTTCCAGAGAAGCCAGCTGGGCAGAGACACTGAACACCATGCCCCATGGGCACGCAAAGGCCACCGTGTTGGCATACACTGTCGGTACACTGCACAGGTTTGCACTCTTCTCGTCCAACCGCGCCTGGACCATCCGTATACATGTTGGTCGGACACTCGACGCAAGTGGTAGCTCCGTGCTGAGGTTGGAAGAAGTCCTTGGGACACTGGGCACAAGGAGCTAATCCTGTGTCAGAGTACATGCCAGGAGAACATTTGGCTCTGCATCGATCTCGACCAGGTGCAGCTGGCTGATAGGTGAAGGTTCCAGCTGGACATGTTTGACAGTCTTTGTAACCACCCACTGGTGGCTCCCCTGTGTAGCTATTTCTAGGACACTCCAGACAGGGTACCAGACCCGTAGGAGAGTATGTACCGTATCCACAAACGGGTATACAATCATCGATGCTCTTGGAACCTTCTTCTCGAGTGTACGTGCCAAATGGACACCGTAGACAGGAGCCTTGACGATCGCTGTTTTGATAGAAGCCTTTGGGACAGGACGTGCACTGCTTTTGCTTTTCTCCCGCGAATGTTCCGGCTGGACAGTGCACTGAAAAGGGAAAACAAAGAAAATCGTCACGTTATTTGATAGATTTCATGTTTTGATACCATTGTGAGGTGTCTACTCACGACATCGTGGAACATCGTTGGTATCCATGTTCAAAACTTCGCCAATACTGCAAGTGAAGCCTCGAGTGATGGACGACTTCAGAGCTCTGAGAGGAGGACACTGATTGCCAATGGCGGATACGTTTAACAGAGGCTCTATTACCGCGCTGGTGGAAGGGACTGATAGATCGAAGATCAGATTCAACGTGGAACCACAGAGATCGTATAGTTGAGGCTGACGTATAGCTGGGACGATGACGAGAATAAAGTCCATCTAAGACAAATCGGCATATTAATAACACTTCTATTAACGATTTCCATTAAATTTCGTTCCATAATGATCCAAACCTTCAAAACGTTTTCTTCGAGAAGATACGGTACTGATCTCACGAACGACACGTTCATATTCACGTTCACAGCAGAGCAACGTTGGGTCAGGATATTGTTCAGATTCGTATAATACTGAGACATTAGATCTTGGTACTGTGGCAGACAGGATCTTGAAACAGCGCCATTAGCTCTATAAGTCACTGCTGCTACCACGTGATAGTTCGCCTGTTGCGTGTCTATTAAATAAAATAAATACATTAATAAACATTAAATTTTAACAAATGTCAAAGTACCAGATAGAAAATTAAAGGAAAACCTACTTTCTGAAACACAATCGGGAACGACGGAAGATGGAGTCCAGTGTTTAGCAATGTCACAATTGAACGTCTTCACCGGTGCACCATCGGTGAACCGGAAGCCATTCTTGCAAGTGGCTATACATTGGACTCCCTTGTCTCCAGGGACGCATTTCAATCCTCCATTGGCCGGCGGTTTCAGTTCCCAATCGACGCAAGGCGTTGCTTGAACCGACACCTGGAAGTGGCAGGATGCTCTGTTTCCGCTGGAGTCTGTCGCGTAAACGGTCACGTTCTCGAATCCTCCGATCGGAATCACTGCTCTTTCCGGGACAAACGTGATCTTCACTGGTCCAGACACATCCGTGGCGTTGATTCTTCTACGAGTCTCGTTAAAATTGACGGAATAACTCTCCTGTTTGTCTATCAACTCTATGACGTAGCTTTGAGGACAGCTAAGTTTTGGCGGTGTTACATCTGTGAATGATCAAGAAATAATTCTATAAAGAGAATCTTGAAATTTCTTCTTATGGAAGAAATGTCAAGGAATAGTATACCGACCAGGTACGGTGATATTGATCTCGCAAATGGCCACATTTCCATCGTAATCGAACGCCACGTATTTCACCACCGTGTCCTGGAACACTTTCAACGGTGTCCTGAAACTGTGAGGCTTCACTTCCAAACGAGCGATGCTTCCACTGTTGTCGATAGCTGTGGGTTCAGTAAAGTTCACGGGCAATAGACCTCCATCCGTTCCCTTTTGTACAATGATAGGTTGCTGAGGACAATTTTGGAATACTGGAGGCTCGTTATCCACGCAAGGAGAGAAGCCATAATCGTAGCCAAGTAACGGTTCAGTCACTGGTTCCTCGCATCCCATCAGTTCGAACTTCAAGCAGGCATTGTCCATGTAACTGACTATTCCAAGGATCACGAAACGAGCTTGAACGTATTTAGGCAAAGTTATCATCGCCAATTCTCCATAATTTCCTGGGTCCCTCATAGTCAGGTTGAAATTAGGGAAATAGACTACGTAGTTTTCGATCTCAGCTTGTTTGTAGAAGAATCTGATCTCCGTTGGCCTGCCAACGATATCGTTCGTCACCACACCTTTAACCAAAATGGCCTTCACTCTGTAAACCTGGCCCAAGTCAACACTAACATAGGTGAAGGCTTCTTGCTTGCCACACCAACCAGTCACCGAATTCAGACGAACGTTCTTGGCTTCGTAATTCGGTCTTTCGGAGGTTGCGTTAATGGCTGAATCGGGAATTCGACCGGAAGCAAGTCCAAGAGGCTTCACCACTTTACACTCTGGTTCTCGAACGCACACGATCGGTCGAGGATTGATCAGGATATAGCCTGGCCTGCTGCAACCGAATTGAACCTCAGATCCTTGCTCGTAGCTCCTGGCCATTTGGAAGCCATCGCTGGGTCGTCCTGGGTCCTCGCAAACTGGGCCTTCGCATCGAAGGTTGCCAAAGTCCCAGATTCCATTAGCCTGACACCTGACCACGTTGTCATGACGATTCGTCTGGCCCGCCAGTTTGAACGTGTCTTGGCAACCGAAGAAGAAGGAAGATTGGTATTTCGTGTCCAAGTATTGGCCATATTCGGCTCCAGGAGTAGGAAGTGGCTTTCCACAGTCGGCTCTTGGACAAGCTGGTTGAGATCCTGACAACCAGTAGTCCGGTAGACCTGGTTTCGGGTCGTAAACGCACTGGCGGAAGTTTGAGGTAGCTGTGTTTCGGAGGTATCGACCATTGCTGCCACATTTCAGCGTGACGTTTTGCTTAAATGGCACCAAGACGCTAGCTTCGTCACTACGGATCACTGACAATCCCTCGTTCTTGTCGTCTGGCAACGAGACACACTTGGCATCTGCGAAATATTGTTCAAAATGATTAATTATTATTACTTGCGACAAAATTTGCAATTTATCACTTACATTGACACTCTGGAGTGGTCCCATTCCAAGCTCCACTAGACGTGCAGATGACAGCCGAGGATCCAGACAACACGTATCCAAAGTTACATTGGAATCTCACGAGATCACCAAAGTGATGTTGTTGCTACATCAAACGATAAAATTATTATTTTTAAATAAATTTTCAAAATGATATAGCTTGGCCTGATCTATAGCATGCCACTGACCTTAGTCGACAGTATTTTTCCATTGTCTGGCGCCAATATGGGTGGACACATGACGGGTACACAAGTCTTGTTCTTCTGATATAAATCTCCATCCCTTTCGCCACTCTCGTACTTCTCTATGTAAAAACCAGCAGTTCCATTGCCCTTGTACAACTCGTAGCCCGTGTTGCACATGCAAGCATAGCTTCCAGGATTATTTATACATTTCTGATGGCAACCACCATTATTTATCGCGCACTCGTTAATATCGGTGCACTCGAGACGAGTGCAGCCCATGATCTCGAGCTTCATACAGGGCGCCCCAACGTAATCCTGGATTCTAAACCTGACGTAGCGTGCCTCGATGGGAACAGGCAAGTTCAGAACGGATAAAGTGGGTTCCAGTATCCTGAATTCTACCGGTGTTCCATCAGGATTGGTGTAATCCTTAAAGGTGTCCGTCAGGTCGTCGGTGTATTGAATTCGAACTGCCGACGTGTAAGCTATGTTTCCGTCCACCCTGGAGACGACCTGCGTACGAAAACCACGGATGATCGTCGGTGCCTTCATGTCGATCATCACCCAGTTTGCACCTGGTTCGATATTGTTGCCGCACCATCCGTCACCGTTGTTCAATCGAATACCCTGAAAGCAAGACGACAGATTGAAGATCGAAAGAAATTTACGCGATTGTATTTTTTATTTTCTCGAATCGATATTTACAGTTCTGGTGTAACCATTCTCAGAGCTCGAAACGGTGATGGATTCGTCTGGTATACCGCCATTGATTAACCCAAGATCACCTATAGGCCTACATTCCATGGTTGGAGCGAAGCCAGGTTTGCATTTGCAAGTGAATGCACCGGGATTGTTGATGCACTCAGTGGAGGCCAGGTCGCATTGACTTGACGCACACTCATTGATATCTGTGACAGATGTTATATGTCATTCATCAATGCGAAATAATATTCGAAAACAACTTTTTTGCAAACGCTATCGAACAATCTGTCGAATATTTGCAATCCTACCTTCGCAAGTAGGGACATTATCGAATCGTTGATTAGGTCCACACTGTATGATATTAGATCCAGACAGCTTATAACCTCTGTTGCATTGCACTCTTGCCTCATCCCCATAAAAGTATTCTCTGCTCGTGTCGACTACGAAACCATTCTTGATCGTGGGTAACAATGGGCACTTTGCACCTACACGAGAATCAATCGTAAGAACGAAATGTTTCGCAACTTGTTTCGATAAATCGAATACCCACGTGAGCAAGTCGGCACTTCATCCGACCAGGTTCCATTGCTCATGCACAGGATCACCGGGTGTCCGCTTCTGACGTAACCTGGCTCGCATTCGAACCGAACGATCGTTCCATAAGATCTTCCTCCTCCGTTCAGTATAGTAATATTCGAGTGTGGCGCTTCCGGAAGTAGAGAACACTGGGACGCTATAGACATCGTTAATATATGTCAGCAATTACGAATAGACTACGAATAGTCGAGGGCAATTAATTTATCGTTATTTTGTCATCGAACGATTTGATAGGGATTAAGTCTCGAGTGAGTGTGCTGCTTCGAATAAATAAATCACGTATGTGGCCATTTTGTATCTTTAATATGTTTAAAATGGGTTTAATGTCACGTTGTCAATTCGATGAACTTCTTCAAATCAGAAAAATTATCTCAACATTGTTACTGGGGATAATTTAAATTTTTATTCACCCAAACAAGATGGCTTCTTCTCCCATCTTCCATCGGCCATACAAGAGATCTTCTCGGTGGGCCTAGCAGAAGGGAAGGCGAATCCAGCGTAGCATTGATAAGTAGCCAAGCCTCGATAAGTGACGTTGGAGGATCCAATGGAGAATCCATTGTCGATTTGTGGCACTGGCCCGCAATACACCTCCTGACAATTGGGTATGTACGTGACGGACCAATTTCCACTAGGAAGACACTCTGTGGTTATTTTCGCCTTGCCGGTGGCGAATTCTTGGCCAAGGGGACATGAGAACGTCACTGTTGTACCGAACGCCGTGTCTCTGCTCGATGCTAATGCTCCTTCACCGGACTGAAGATGCGGGCAGTCTAGAAAAAATTCCAAGATTTAAAGAAACCTTAAAAATTTATCTTGCAATTATTACAATTGATTCACTATAATCACTAGTCATTATTTTTACTAATAAGTCGCAAATTTACGTACGATATAAATAATTTAAATTCCTTAAAAACTTAATGTAGTCAAATGTTCATATTCACAATTAACAATACCTGCTGAGAACTCTGCTTGCCAGCCAGGGCTGCTATGAAGCGCATCAGAGGTGAATCTGATCAGCATCTCTCCACTCTCAGCAGTCAGAGTGATCTTTGGCCTCGTGTTCGATGTGAAGCCGCTTCCAGGATGTAAACGGAGCCCGTTGGTATTCGGACCATCGTACACCTATCAAAATCGACTCGTCGAGAGAAACACTCTCTCCTTTTTTCAAACTGTCAAAACGATTCTAGGTTACCTGTACAAAATCGGTCTTGTGAACATTGAAGCTGATGAACTTCAAGGATAACGGTCCACCCTGAGGATTTTTCACTCTGTACAAGCACTCCTGGTTATTGGGATAGTCGTTCAAGCCGAATGATGGCGATTGGACAGTTCCATTCCTAGCTATAATCGTGGCCTTGCACCCTTGAGTGTATCGGATGCTGAACCCTCTTCTAGAGTCGCCTAGACTAGTCTTGAGGTAGAGGTACAAGTTGCTTCCGGTTGACATGATCACCGTAGGATTGTCCTCCGATTTGCCAGTCAGTCTGGCTATCGGCCTGCTCATCGGCGAATCACCGTCTCTAATTAGGATGTAATCTCGATTCATCTCGAGATCCAGATCCTCGATCTAAAAGGAATTATTTGAAATTTTTTTCCCATCAAGTTTTTAAATATCCGCTATTTAATATCATTTGCGAGGAAAGAATTCCGAGGAGAAAGTTACGTGGAGAAATTTCTCTTTTTGAGAATTCAAAGCGATATTGATCCGACAATTTGTACACTTCGAATATATTTAAGAAAAAAATATATATATATATATATATAGAAATTAGTTAGGTTATTTGTTTTATCGTAACACGTACTTCGAGGGACATTATACGACCAGGTTGAGCTTGCAGGATGTACAGGCACTCCAATCCTCCAGGATAATTCTGAGGATATCCTGGGGAAGTGAGGACTTGTCCTTGAGGTGTTGCGCGGAGGATTCCGCCACAAGTTTGTGGTTCCGTTTTCCACGAAGCGCGGAATCCCTTTCTCTCCACGGAGGAATCTGTGCTGAATTTGATGATCATGAAGTTCGAGGCGGATACGAATAGTTTGTTGCTCAGCTCTTGCTTGCCCGAGAGCGTCGCAAGATTCACGGACTTCTCTTCCGTCCTACCGCCAACCAGAATCTGCACTATGTCGAAGCTCTTCTCCGTTTCGAATTCTTGAAACTGGAACGAAGATAGGAACAGATATTAATATTCAGAATCCTCATATTTTTCTTTTCGAATAAGAATATTTGGATGACAAACGTTTCATAATATTTGCAAATTTCATTTTGTGAATAGTTTTTAGAATCGTACGATAAAGAGAAATATAAATTCAATATTTATCTTTCCTTTAACATAATTAAATCTTTATACTCTTCGTAAAGACGAGAAACAGAAAACGAATCGCTCGAATGGCGAAAATCAAAAAATTTCCAATTAATCCTCTCAATAGCACCGAAATTCCGAACGAATATACGGATATAATTTCGTTCAGACACTCGTATCCAATCGAATTAAAACGATTGTTAAAAACAACGAACGCAGTCCCCTCTCGCAGTACCTGTAACAGGATATTATGGCCTTGAGGTCCCTCCAAGGTCCACTTGCAGTTGCTGAGGGGTGCATATTTGTGAGGATAATTAGGACTCTCGACGACGTCCCCGCTGCTGGCCATGTAAAACTGGCAATTAACCGGGCAGTCTATTTCGTCCGAGAAATCACCGCAATCATCTTGTTTGTCACACTTGAAGGCCGCGTTCACGCACTTCCCGTTCGAACAGTGAAACGAACCTGGATAAAATTCGTTGATTCGATCTAATTTCACGTAATTTAGCGGCGAGATATCGCGACGAAATTTATTTACCAGCCGGACAAGCGTTGGCACGGCACATGAAAGGGAGCAGGGATTCGCACGTGGTCAACTCCCACGTTTGTCGGTCGTCCGTCAACGCGACGTCCACGCATTCACCTGATTGCGGATTCGGCTGCCTCGGCGCCCAGAAACCTGAATACCAGAAAAAGACGTTCAGACACTGCTGTGTCCTTCTCGTTCTCGTAAAATTAACTCGAAGTTTGGAAGAGCTCTTTTTTTTTTTGGAACTTGGAATTTTTTTGGAATTTAGATTTTTCAAAATATAAACTGAAAAATATTTTTGTTGTTGTATTCAGACACTGCTGTGTCCTTCTCGTTCTCGTAAAATTAACTCGAAATTTGGGAGAGCTCTTTTTTTTTTGGAACTTGGAATTTTTTTGGAATTTAGATTTTTCAAAATATAAACTGAAATTCTGAAAAATATTTTTGTTGAAATGAAATTTTCAAAATTACGTTGGAATTTTATAACATTGAATCAATCGGAAATTGAGTATTTATGAAGTTTAAACGAGGGACTTTGGGAAGAGAATATCGTTGGGTTTGAAGATAAGGATGGTCGGGCGAACATGTGAAGCGAAAGAAATGTTATGCAAATATATGATGCGCCAGACGAGTAAATTGCAAGCTTACGCCGGAGTAGACGTAAAAGAGGCGGTATCTGGGCATTGTTGTGGGAAAAGTGTGTCTTCGTGCCGTATACACGATGCAGTTCCGCGTTTCCGTGACCTCGATGAAAACCGGCCGGGCTGCACGTGCGTTCGATCGTTAGAAAAACGGCCGATCCGGTTCGCAATTTTGGATCAACGTATTGTTCTAGAAATAGATCCTATCTTTTCTGCATATATATCAATATTACATCTTCGTTTTTTCTTTCCTTCTTCAAATTTAAAACCAAAAATCCTCCTCTTTCTTAAATTCCAAAAATTTCTTTCTTTAAATTTCCTAATAAAAATTATTTCTCCTCTCTCTCTCTCTCTCTCTCTCTGAAATTTCAATTCCAAAATCTAAAGCCAAAAAAATTCCACGTTGTTAAACCGTCACGGTTTCGAAGAACCGTGGCGCCAAGGAAGGATTTAAGAATCACGGGGTAAAAAACGGGTATCAGTGTCTGCGTCGAGCGAAAACACGATTTTACAAACCGGCGTATTGGGAGACGAGCATTCCAGCGGCCGATTCGAGCGTGTTGGTCCGTAAATCGTCGAGGGAGGCCAGCCCGAGCCAGTAACGATCCAAATGCCGGCCGATCATGCTCGCGGACATGTTGTTCTCGCTGTACGACTCCACCACCATCAATTCGCTCCCGTACCTGTAATCGTCAATTCGTCCATCTATCGCTCCTTTCCACCGTGTAATAACGTTTCCATTCTTTCTATCATTCCTCCTCCTCCGCTCCACGTTTTCCATTCGACAAGAAATTGCCGAATCTTTGTTTTATTTAAAATTCAAGAGAAACGTGCTTGAACGAAATTTATTATTTGTGACACAATAATGTATAACTGAAATTAATCGTGTTAGTTAGGTAATAATTTCAGTTAGGATTTTTAATTACATCACGATTTTATTCAATCTAAGAATTGATTATAATCGAGAGAAATATTACAAGTATTATCGAAATAACGTTTCATGGAAGCACGGTGAGTAGGTTATCGACGATTGATCCACTTACCTCCTGCATAGCTCCGCCGCCTTTTCCCAAGAGTGCCTGATGTTGAAGAATTTGTAACAATGTATGCCTCTCAATTCCCATCCTGCGCGAGAAAAATATCACGTTATGCTTCTCGTTACATTATTCAATTACACTTCGAATACTTCGAATAATATATATATACTCATAAAATCGTTCTATATATTGTATAATATTTCTTCCCTTGAAAATTAATTATTCTCTGAAATCGAGAGGATTATCAAACGATGTATTGATAAATTTCAATAAAGGGATAAAGGGTTGGTCGATGTTGATCGATGATCGATATAGCAGCGAGGCCTTTGACGCGGGTTCGAATGCAGGAAACGCGGTTAACCGGTGACCTGTAGACAGACAGTGACGGACACAACGACCTCGATCGTTTTTAATACTGCACTGCACTGCACACGAGAGTCAAAGGTAGGTCGGTGGGTAAGCGGGTAACACATTGTAGAGAAGAATCGAGTTCCTCGTCAACGATAATGTATTATTATTCTTATGTATTTATCTTTAATGTAGTTTTTTATCGTTGCTTAACTAACTCAGCTCTTTAAAATTGGCCAGAAAATATCGATTGAGATTCTCTTCCATTTAACGCCAAGCCAAGTTTTCTGCACACACAATCGGATTTCTCGATACAACCTGCGTTGAACTCATCGGCGAACACACGATACCGGCCTTCCTTTCTTTTAAAAGGTCAAACGGCCATGTATGTACCTTGTATGCGACTCTCCTCGCGCCTATTAGCATTTCTCGATCGGACCAACGCGCGCAGAATATTTTCTTCTAATATTAAAACGTCCCCCTCCCCTCCACTCCGCCCCTCCTCCTCCCAATCATCCAAGAATATATCGAAACGAAATATTCAGGTGCAACAATCTAGAAGAAGGATTGCAAATTATTTTGTTACAAGTTGCATACCTTTTTTCTTTTTTAATTTTCTTAATTATTAATTTAATAATTATCATTACGATTTTTTGATTAAATCGATCGATTTTATTTTTCTAGGTGAATGAAAAACCATCTTTCATTCTTGATCACTTCCCCTTTTCATCATTCCTTTTTATATCATTTTTTATTTTTTTTTTACGTGTAATAAAATTCCACCTTTCAAAATGTAGTTTATTAAATACCTCGATCGATCCCGATTATCAACGATTATTTTCTTTCTTCCTTAAAAATATTCCACATCGTATTCATCCTTGTTATTCGAAAAAAAAAAAAAGATTCTAGGAGATAAAAAAAGTAAAACGAACCGTGCGTCGAATAAATCACGCGAGGGACAATGAGGATAAGAGTTCGGCCATTCGTACACACGTTGCTCCACTTTTCCTCGTTACTGGCAGCGCAATTAAGTAGGTTGCGCGTACCAGTATGATGCTACTTGATCGTTTAACCGTGTTCCTTGACGTTTCGACTTCGATTAAAGCCGGACTTGAGGCCAGCTACGAATCAACTTTATCCTAACCCGTTAAGGGAATGTTCTTGGAGCCATGCTCATGATAAGCCTGCAGATATTGGTGGAAAATAAAATTCGTTCAAGGTGGAAAGGATCAAGGATTAAGGATTGACGAGATAAAATTATAATTCGTATCGAACGACTCGTGATATACATTTACATATAATCTTTGCAACTTTCTTTTTTTTTTCTTGTTTTTTTCTTTAATAATATACATTATAGTTATTGGAATATTTAATTATATAATTGGTAAATATAAGATTCGTTGCGGAGTATCATAAATTAATTTTGAATGATCAATATAGATTTCAATATTTTAATTTTAAATAAATATAAATAAAATATCGAGAAATAAAAATAAATTTCCTTTTTCGAAATTTATATAACGAACTAAACAAAATTTTATAATTTTTATTCTTTTTGGAAAAGGAAATCGAAATTCAATTCGGGGAAAAAAATTCGAAAATCGATGATGTTATTTAAAAAAAAAAAAAAAAAAAAAACT